TTATTTTGATATATCACAGTGAAAGATTTATCGTCCTCTTTTTTTTTTTTTTTTTTTTAAAAAAAAAAAAAAAAAAAAAAAAAAAAAAAAAACTGGTCACTTCCACAGCCTAGAAAACACATTCATTTCTACTGCTACACACCTAAATATCCATGTGCAGTCCTCCCTGCTTCCTTCCTCTGAAATTCCCTGTCCTTCCTCCAATGTAGGCAACTGCTGATGGAAAGATTTCTCCATTATCAACTCTTACCACAATATGTGATGTTTCAGGGAGCAGGTGTGCATTGATGAGTGGGTAAAACTACACTTAAATAATACATGCTAAGTGGTTTTTATGTAGCTAGTTGTATGGTGAATGTTGGGGGTGTGGGTGTAAATACCATGGATTACAAATCTTAGTTACCTTTTGAGGTGGATGGAGCAGGTTGAGTTCTTCCATCCGTTACTGAATTTAACATCTACGTTGGATCAGATTCCATGAAGGAAGTTCAGGTAAGTTCAATGAACTCAGGGCTTTTACTTTTCCAGCCCTTGCTCTTAGCCCTAAATCTCAAGAGACTGTATAGCATCATGGCATTGAACAGGCTGGATCTTATGTTAGAATAGATGTTGGGAAGATGTTACTTTTCTATTCCTGCACCATCTGAGATGGGTATTGGTCTGTCAAATACTGACACATTGGCTCAAACAGGATACAACCTAATAAAACCTCTATCTTCATCTACTCTGGAAGGCACATGGATAATCAGTCTGCCATGCTAGACCAATGTGGATTCTTGAAAACCAAGACTATTCTAGACCTCTTCTAGTAGCGTTCCATTTATTCGATGACATGCAAAACGAAACAAAACAAAAAACTCCTTGAGATTTTACTCAATGCACCCACTTTTAAATGGTTGAAAAGCAGTATGCCAAACATTTCCTAGGGAATGACCTGTCACTAAACTCTCAAAACATTATTCAGAGGCTCTGATGCACAGAATCGTCACTTGGTTAATCTCACAAATGTTAGCTGTCATGCTAACCAGAGTGTTCATCTGCCTGCTGGAAGGCACAGGAAGCCATTCTGGTTTGTCATGAAAGGCTTTTAAAAGGAAGTTGTATGTTAAATGATGTGATGGAGTAGGCTGGGTACATGGAAGGAGGAAGAGTCTTTGAGGTAAAGAGAAGATTATGAGTAGAGAGAAAGGCGAAGCGTTGTGGTGCCTCTGGAGAACTGCAGGTAGAACACAGAATTCACATTCAGAAGTGGGGAAGAAAAGTACGGACATGCAATCAAGGAGGTTCTTGAATGATTCAATAACAAAAGAGACACTAGCGGGGAAATGAAACATGTAATGTAAGCATAAACATTCTCATCCAAAGTAGTACGTAGTGACAGTGAACATTGGAACTTGTTCCTACCAGGCATAAGTACTCCCTGCATATGTGAGGGTAAGTTAAACCTGTCGGAAAGTGTGTGAGATGCTAATCAACTACAATAGTCCAGTTAAGAAATAGTGAGCAGGAAGGAAATATTTGTGACTATGCAAATAGATACTGGCTTATTTGTTATTTTGTGTGAGGGATGGGGGAAAACTACTGCTTTCTGCTGGTCCTCAGATCAACAGATGATCTGACAAAGGGGATAGTAAAGAACACGTTTGGAAGACAAAAACAGATAAACTAACAATGACAAATTTAGTTCAAGATTTGCTGAGCAATAGGAAATGCATACAAATTTAATTATATGCATTTTTAATTTTTCATGTGTATGAGTGTTTTGCCTGCATGTAAGTGCACCTGTGTCATGCCATGCCCGTGGAGGCTGGAAGAGGAAATCGGATTCCCCAGAACCAGAGTTACAGACAGTTGCTAGCCACCATGTGAGTGCTGGGAACTGAACCGTCTGCTAGAGTAGCCAGTGCTCTTAACCACTGGGCTATCTCTCCTGTCCTCAGATATATGCATTTTAATATGCTGCTTTAGTGAAACCACCCGAGTGACGAGGACTGCTTGCACTGAAGCCACAATGGCCCAGAATTTTCGACTCTAATGGCATTTGGACTCACTTTGAAATTAATGTCCATACATTTCAGGAATGACTGCACTCCCTTCCTCTCCATCCACTTTCTGCCCATTCACATCTTCTTAGGTATCACAAATGGCTGACCAGCAACTCTCACCCTCTGAAATCTTTTGGGATTTTTCCCTGGGCATCACTGGCAAGAGATGAAGGTAGGGGAGTGAAGGCAGGCTGTGAGTCTCTCTGGTCCTAACTCCATGCTGCTGGTTGATGCTTCTTGGGCCTTGGAGGGGTACTATAGGTGTCCTTTCTATGACGAGCGCTCACAGTCACTTATTCTCATCACTTTGACCAGTTATGAGTCTCTATTAACCACAACACACTGCAGAAAGAAGCTTCTGTGACCAAAGCTGACAGGAAGGAGCACTGATTTATGAACATAAGCATAAATACTTAGACAGCATTTAGACAGGTATGTCATACCCCTTAGAAAAACAACAGTAGTAGGTTCCTCATTGGGATCTAGGACCTCCCCAGCTATGAGCTTTTGACCATATTTACAGTGCCAGGTGTGAATTCCTTCCTGCAGAGCAGACCTCAAATCCAATCAGTTCCAATAAGGCAAGCCACTGCTCCAACAGCGGGCGCATCTTGTTGCCTGGTAGGTTGGTGGTATAGTACCCAGGGACCATAACTGAGAAATACTGTTGATGATAGTTATTCCCCAGCAGCCTGCATAGCATCCTCCAGTATTATGAAAGGCAGCCAACAGGCAGAGGCGCCAACAGGAGGAAGTGCCACTCAGCCTCAGCTTCATTTCCCTATGCCCTGCAACCAAATAGCGTAGTGATTTCAGAAAGGGCCTTGCCATCAATGTGTGACTGTGTGGTGAGCAGCCACAAGCAGTGGCAATGCCCTGTATTGTTTGGGGGGCTTCTCAGGAGCCTCCCTAACCAACAACCCATAGGGAGGTTGCCCACCCCTGGGACTGGGGTTTTAATTTAACAACCTATGGCCCCTGGGAGCAGCTTTACCCACCCACTCAGAATACCTCTGTTCAAAGTAGCAGGTTCCCTATGACTTTTTCATGCATCCTTAGTTCTGGTTGACTCCTCTTCTCCCCCATCTCTCTGGCCCTCCTCCCTGCTTAAATTTTTTCATGCCCACTATTCCATCTTCCACTTTCATATCACATGTGTGCTGCTAGCCACTCCCTTTAAAGCCTCTTCTTACCCGCCTCATGGACCCCAATCCAGTTTCCTGGCCACACTCACTCCAACATAAATGCACTTATATACAAAGTAGAAGCTAGGATCCACATATGAGAGCATAGGGTTTGCTTTCTGGCTTTGGGTTATCTCAATATAATACCTTGTAGTTTCATCAATTTCTCCGAAATTGTCATATTTTCATTCCTTTTCATGATCGAATACAATTCTGATGTGTATATGTAACACACACACACACACACACACACACACACACACACACACACACAGTTGATGAGCAGGCATGTGGGTGTCATAGTGCACTTGTAGAGGTCATAGAACAACCTCAGCTGTAGCTCCTCATCTTGCACTTTGTTGAGATTGGATCTCTTTTTGTTTGCTGTGTATACACCAGGCTAGCTGGACCATGAGTTTCCCAGATGCTCTGGTCTCCCCTTCCCATCTTTCCATAGCACAGGAGCACAAGGATTGCAGACATGCACCATTGCATCCAGCTCTATGTGGTTTCTAGTAATCTGAACGTAAGTCATCAGGCTTGTATGGCAAGTCCCCAGCCTCTGAAATATATGCTCTTTAGTGTATGTCCCAGTGGTTTTCTGAATTTCACTGGTATCTGTTCTAATGGCTCCCTTTCATATCTGATTTTATTAATTTGAATTTTCTCTCTTTTGGTTTGTTTGGCTAAGTGTTTGTTGATCTTGTCTATCTTTCAAAGACCCAACTCTGTTTCTTTGATTCTTTGTATTGTTTTTCCCACTTCCATTTCATTCATTTCTGCCCCGATCTTAATTATTTCTTTCCGTCTATTGATTGTGTTTTGGCCTATTCTTGTTTTCCCAAGGCCCTGAAATGTACTACCTGCCTTAATAAGTTTGCTTACAGATCTTGTCTCTTGCAGGAAAAGTGATTGTTGACTATTCGTGGTGAGGCTTGTGATCCTTCATCTTATGTAGAAGTCCTTCATCACATTATTTTCACTGCTAAATATCTAGTGTTCAGAGTCGTACACACACCAGATGCTATAGAAGCAACTGCTTAGAAAGTAAAGGAGGTGGTGCTGGAGAGATGGGTCAGCGGTTAAGAGCACTGGATGCTCTTGCAAAGGACCTGGGTTCGGTTCCTGGAACCTACATGTTAACTTAAGTCTGTTCCAGGGACTCTGAAGCCCTCCTCTGGCCTCCACGGGCACAACACTCTTACATATAAAATAAAAATAAATAAAAATTTTTTTAAGTTTTTTTAAAAAGACTTTTGACCAACAGGGGGAAGAAGAAAAGAGCCCTTTTATAAACTGGGGACAGTTATTGAGGTTTTGCTTTCACAGAACAGCAAATCCATGTTATCACTGATGTTCTAAATCTTTGATCTTCCCTGTTCTCTGTTCCCTTCAGTACCATTAACTTCTCCCAGTCATGGGTCAGACTCCCTCTTCTGCATCCTCTCAAACAGAGCATCATGATTCAGCCTCCAGCCTTGACACAAATCTTAAGAATGTCAAGATAGAAAGCAAAATCCTGTCTCAAGAAGCCATCACTTTCATCGAATCCTACCTTGAGGAAGGAAACCTTCACAGAGCAGTTTGTACAATCAGCCATGTTCTGCAAGACATTGAGAAAGCTCCACTGAGCATTGCAGTGACAGGGGAACCTGGGGCTGGAAAATCCAGTCTCATCAATGCTCTGCGGAGAGTGGGTCCTGATGAAGAAGGTGCAGCTGCTTCCACTGGGGTGGTGTGTACAACCGTGGAGAGAACACCCTACCAACACCCACAGTTTCCCAGCGTGACACTGTGGGACCTGCCTGGCATTGGGTCCACTGCTTTCCAACCGCAAGATTATCTAGAGAAAATCAAGTTTGAGGAGTATGATTTCTTTATTATCGTGTCTTCTGGACGCTTTAAGCACAATGATGCAGAACTGGCCAGAGCCATTGCACAAATGAACAAGAGTTTCTACTTTGTTCGAACCCACACTGATATTGATATAAAGCTTCAAAAACAGAATCATCCTAAGAGATTCAATAAAGAGAGTATCTTAAAGCAGATTCGAAATAGCATTTCAAGTATTCTTAAGGATGTTACCCAGCAGGAGCCTCAAGTCTTCTTAGTCTCTAACTTTGATGTGTCTGACTATGACTTCCCAAAGCTGGAGACCACCCTTCTGAAGGAGCTCCCGGCCCACAAGCGCCACATCTTCATGCTCACTTTGCCAACTGTTACTGATGCCATTGTGGACAAAAAAAGGGATGCCTTGAAGGATAGCATCTGGCAGGAATCTATGAGGCCAAGAGCATGGGCCACCATTCCATTTAGAGGCCTGACCGAAAGGGACATAGAGAAACTGGAGGAGGCATTGAATCAGTTCAGGTCTTCCTTTGGGCTGGATGATGCATCCCTGGAAAAGATTGCTGAGGATGTACACGTGTCTATGGAAGAACTCAAAGCAAACATCAAGTCTCCACATCTGTTCTCAGTAGAGAAGGGTGAATCCGTAGCAGATAAGCTGCTGAAGTGTGTTCAGCACATTTACTTTTCAAAGACTTTCCACTTGCAAAATCACTTCGTTGACACTGTGGCAAATGATGTCAAAATTCTCCTTAGTAAAGAAGAGCTTTTCACAGAGAAGGTAAGGTTGTTTGTCCATTGTTTTTTAATTTTTTATTGAATTTTTGTGTATTTCATACAGAAAATCATCTTTATTCCCCCTTCCCATTTGGCACCCTCCCATAGCCCCCCCTCCACTGGAGTTCATACATTCTGTCATTTGTGTTAAGGCCCATTGTGTCAAGTTAGTGTCCTCATGTCCCTCAGTGCAAGTTCATCCACTGGGATCTAGTCAGCCTATCTAGAGTCCCTCCCTTTAAGAAGATCAGCTTTTCCTTCTCCAGCAGTAATCAGCTGCCAATAATTTTTGGACTAAGATTGGGGCCTGATGTTCATTTCCACACTTCTGTGATGGGTTTTTGTCTGCCTAAGTTAGCATGGGTCTTGTGCATGCTGACAGCATTGCTGTAGGTTTGTACGAGAAGGGTCCCAGGCACCTGTAGGACTGTTTTTGTATGGTCACACACCATAGAGTACGTTTATTAAAGTCTAATGCCCCTCTACACTTGGAAAAATCAATGAAACAAACACTATTTTTGACAATTGTTCATAAATGATTATTTTTAAGTCTGGGAAGCGCCTTTCTATTCCACTGTATTGAAAATTTTTACAGTTAATCTGTTGAATTTTGTCAAATGCATTCTCTGTATCTGTTGAGATAATCATACATCTTTTCTGGTTTAGACTGTTATATGATTCTTACCTTTTTTTCATTATAAACTGTCTCATTACAGTGATTGTTTATTTTGTTAATTAGCAGTTTAGTTAGATGTAATTCCATTTGTCAGTTTTTGCTTTTTTTCCTATGTTTTTGATACCCTATACTGACCCGATATGACAAAATTCTTTAATGTTTTCCTTCAGAAGTTCCTAAGTTTCCATCTTATATTAAGCTCTCTGATCCATTTTGAGTTGATTTTCATACAGAGTAAGAGATAGGGGTCAAGTTTCGGTGTGGTCTAATATCCAGTTTGTGCAGCACCATTTGTCTTTTGTCCAATATGAGCTTTCAGAACTTTTATTGAGATTTTGGCCATCTGTAGATGCATTCAGTTGGCTGTAGATGTGTGGTTTTTCCTGGTCCTCTCTTCTAGTCAGTTGGTCTGTCTGTTTTCACTCTGCTGTCATGCTGTTCTTGTCACTGTAGCTCTGTACTGTGCCTTGAAAGCAGGTCCTCTGATACCTCTAGCCTTGTTCTTACTGATCAAGATTGTTTGGGCTATTTGGGATCTTTTGTGTGTTCTATATGAATTTTATGAGTCTATATATATTGTGGAAAATGACATTGATATTTTGACTGAGATTGTATTGAATCTGTAGACCACTTTGAGAAGTTTGGACATTTTGACAATATTAATGCACATAAACTATAATCATGGGAGGTTTGGTCTTCTTTGATTTCCTTCGTCTGTGCTTTGGGTCACTGTAGATGTCTTTCACTTCCTCAGAAGTTTATTCAAACTTCATTTCTTCCTTCTTTTCTCTTTCTTGCCTCCCTGTCCCCCCCCCCCCGTGTGTAGCCCCAGCTGTCCTGGAACTCGCTACGTAGACCAGGCTGGCCTTGAACTCACAGAAATCTGCCTGCCTCTGTCTCCCAAGTACTGGGATTAAAGGCGTGCACCACCGCTTTCAACTCATGCCTTACATTTTCATCCTAATTTCATTCATCTGTGGTCTCTTGGATGTCACTGAGAATTTTTTCTTTTTAATTAACTTCTTAGGCTACATACATGGTAGCAGGTTGCATTATGGCACTTTCACATAGGTACACCTTGTTCTCATTCACTCCTCTCCCTGACTGCCCTCCAGCATACGCTTTCCCCTACCTGGCTGGTTCCCTTTTCCCTCAGAGTCCCTTATAGTGCTTACTTGTCACATGAAATCCATTCTCACCCTGTGTCTTTTCTCCTTTAACATTTCTTCCTTCCCTCCCACATGATTGAGGTTTCATCATTATTTTAAAATGTTTAGCAAAAATTTCATCCATTTCAATTTCTTAGAGTGTTTACTAGAGAGTTATGACCTTTTGTAGCTATCATACAGCTTTGCTGGGTTTTTTTTGAGGATTTTTTTTTTTTTGTCTTTTTTTGTCTTTTGAGACAGGGTCTCCCTGTAACCCCAGCTGTCCTGGAACTCACTATGTAGACCAGGCTGGCCTCCAACTCACAAAGATCCGCCTGCCTCTGCCTCCCAAGTGCTGGGATTAAAGGTGTGCACCACCACGCCCAGCTCAAGGGTTTTTTTTTATTTTTTATATTTTATATATATATTTTTTATTCTATGTGTATGAGCACTATGCCTGCATGTATGTAAGCACGCCTGTGTTGTGCAGTGCCTGTAGAGGTCAAAAGAAGGCATCGGATCCCCTGGAACTGGAGTTACAGGCGGTTGTTAGCCACTATGTGGGTGCTAGGAATCAAACCCGGGTCCTTGGTAAGAGCAGCTAGTGCACTTAACTGCTGAACCATCTCTCCAGTTTCACCTTGCTGTTTTTTAGTAACTATTGTGTCCTGTGCAATGATTCGTGCTTCTCAATGGCAATCTCTGCCACTTTCCTAGGATGTCCTTCTTACTAAGTGCCTTCTCCAGAAGAAGTGTCCTAGGAGATGATTTGTTATGCCGTGTTGGATTTGTTCCCAGCAGAGCATCATAATGTAGACTCTCTGTATCTACTTTGGTGGCAGTTAGTGAGTTTAGGCTCAGGGCATACCACGTCTGAGTTGTAGGGAACCATTGTCTCAGAGGCTCACACAAGGCTGGGGTCACTCGAGCATTTCAGGCAACTGTGATATAAACAGCAGAGTGTAGATGAGGCAGTAGATATGAATTTATATTCATTTTCTGAAGCCACAATTACTCAGGGGTTTTTTGTTTTTTGTTTTTGTTGTCGTTGTTGTTATTGTTTTATCTTCTTGAGACAAGGACTCTCTGTAGCACCAGCTGGCCTGGAACCACTATGTAGACCAGGCTGGCCTTGAACTCACAGAGATCTGCCTGTCTCTGCCTCCCAAGTGCTGGGATTAAAGGCATGCACCACCACATCTGCTCTTTCTTTCGACATTTTCAAACAAGAACATATTGTGTGACACAACACATGGTGACACATGCCTTTAATCTCAGCACTCAGGAGGCAGGTGGATTTCTGTGAGTTTGAGGCCAGGCTGGCCTCAATGTAGGTAGTGAGTTTCAGGTCAACCAGGGCTAAATGGTGAGATGCTCTCTCAAAAATAGAATGTATTTTATGTTGATAATGTCCCCCTATATGGTAATAGACAGTTTTACTTCATGTCATACAGGCATACAGAATGCATATATCTATATAAAATCTAAATACCACAAATGAGAGAAAATGCATTTGCTCTTCTGAGACTGGCTTAATTGACAATATGATTATCTCCAGTTGCATCCATTTTCCTGTAAATGATATAATTTCTCTTTCTTTATGGCTAAAAACACCTCCATTGTGTACACAGAACACATTTTCTTTATCTGATCACATTTCTTTATCTGAACACTTCTTTATCTGATCCTCTGTTGTTGAACACAGGTTGGTTCCACAACTTGACTAATCAGATGAATCATTTCTGTTCTTCACCTAATGTCCCTTCCCCCTTTATACACAGACTACACAAGAGAAGGTAGGTTGACCATGCTGAAAGACCAGAGATTGTGGGGCCCAGTAAGCACTTTTGTAAGGGTTCACAAGAAACAGGGAACCTTTCCATGAGGCATGTTGTTTGATTGCTGTTGTTATATGCTCATCTGTCCATTGAGGGTTGTCATGGGGTATGTGTATTAACTTTTAATATTTTGTTTTATTTTTATTCTATGTGTATGAGTGTTTTGCCTGCATGAGTGTATGTGCACCACATCTATACAATACCCATGGAGGCCAGACAAGGGCATTGGATCCCCTGGAACTGGGTTATGGATGTTTGTTAGCCACCATGTGGGTGCTGGGAATGAAACCTGGGTCCTCTGCTAGAGCAGCCAGTGCTCTTAACCACTGAGCCATCTCTTATGTATGGCTCCATATGTATATTATTTTTAAGAGTAAACAGAATTTAAAGATGATTTAAAACAGGAGTTAAAGCTGGGTTAAGTACGCATGGAATAAATGGACCTTGAACTGGGAAAAGAAGCAGGAGGGAAATCCTAGGAGAAAATAAAACATGAGCAAGGGAGGCACTTGACATGCAGGCCAGAGTGTGGCCAGCAGCCAGGAACAGAAAGAAAGATGCACCTGCTTATAAGAGGGACGAGAGCTAAGATCCTGCTTTACTGTAACAGCGAACTCCTAGGCCCTGCCCTCTTTACTGATAATTATAATCTCTCTCTTTTCTCCTCCATTCAGCATCTTCCACTCCACAGAGCCATGGGTAAGCCTGGCTCCTCCAGACCTTCTCCTTTAATGGCTCAGATTTTAGCCTCCAGTCTTGAAACTTTTTTTAAGAATTTCAAGAAAGAAAGCAAAATCCTCTCTGAGGAAACCATCACTTTGATTGAATCCCACCTGGAGAATGAAAACCTTCAGGGAGCAGTTTCTGTAATCAGTCAAGCTCTGAAAAACATCGATAAAGCACCACTGAACATTGCTGTGACAGGAGAGACTGGGGCAGGGAAGTCCAGCTTCATCAATGCCCTGAGGGGAGTGGGGGACGAAGATGAAGGGGCAGCTCCCACTGGAGTGGTAGAGACCACCATGGAGAGAACTCCATATGAACACCCAAAGGTGCCCAGAGTGACCATGTGGGACCTGCCTGGCATTGGGTCCACTACCTTCCAACCACAAAATTATCTAACAGAAATGAGATTTGGTGAGTATGACTTCTTCATTATTGTCTCTGCCACACGCTTCAAAGAAATCGATGCACATCTGGCCAAGGCTATCGCAAAGATGAATACGAAGTTCTACTTCATTCGAACTAAGGTAGACATTGACATAAGTAATGAACAAAGAGGCAAGCCGAAGAGCTTCAATAAGGAGAATGTTCTAAAGAAAATTCGAGATGACAGTTCAAAACATCTTCAGGAGGCTCTCTCCAGTGAGCCTCCCATCTTCCTAGTCTCTAACTTCGATGTGTCAGACTATGACTTCCCAAAGCTGGAGACCACCCTGCTGAGCGAGCTCCCAGCTCACAAGCGCCACATCTTCATGCTCTCCTTACACAGTGTGACTGAGACTGCCATTGACCGGAAAAGGGACTTCCTGAAGCAGAAGATCTGGTTGGAGGCCCTGAAGGCTGGAGCCTGGGCCACCATTCCATTTGGGGGCTTGATCATCGATAAAATAGAGAAGCTGGAGGTGACCTTGAATCTGTACAGGTCCTACTTTGGGCTGGATGATGCCTCACTAGAAAATATTGCCAAGGATTTTAATGTGCCTGTGAACAAACTCAGGGCACATATTAAGTCTCCCCATATATTGACAGAAGCAAAAGATATGTCCTTTGAAGAAAAATTATTGAAATACATTGAGTACATTTCCTCAGTTATTGGGGGGCCACTTGCCACTGGCCTTTACTTTAGAAAGACTTTCTATTTCAAGAATCTCTTTATTGATACTGTAGCAAGCGATGCCAAAGCTCTCCTGAATAAGGAAGAGCTCTTTGCAGAGAAGGTGGGATCAGTCAGGTCTAACACCAGTGAATACTGGGAAGCAGTGATGGAAAAATGAGGCACAAATTCCAGTGCGCGCTGACCTTTGGCCTGGCTTTGGGCACTGACTTCATAGCCTGCTCTGAAGAAGCAAATATTTTCTGTGAAGGGTTAGAGGTGTAATCCCTTTCATCTTTCACAGCCAGAAGATCAATGTGGTGATTGCTCAACTGTACTATAATGGTGAAAGAAGAATCATCAGCTGTATAAAATGTATGAGAAAAGCTGTTTTTTCATTAAATATCATGTACAAAAGTACACGGCTGTGTGCATTTGACTTGCAGTATCTTTGATCAATTAATCTTGGATCTTTTACCCCATGGAGGTTCCCCACTAATTTCCACACTCTCACCCCTAAGATCAAAGAATTAGTGTATGTTTCGGCATATTTCTTATAAGGTCTATGAAATATGGGAGGCTGGTTCCCAACACTGTGTAGTAAAACGCACTTCCACATGAGGCGGTATTCTCCCCCCACACACAGAAAACACACAACATATGGGACCATTAGCCATGCTCCATCCAGGGAGAGCTTGGGAAGGATCGGATGAGTGAGCACATCTGCAGATCCTCTAAATCCTCAGAAACAACATCATCTTGTTCTTCCGTACCCTTCATCGGCAAACCTGAATGAATTTGGAATTTGTTTTGCGAGCAACTGAATTAAATTGCGATATCACTCCAAAACCACACTACGGCTTTCACCTAAACTCTAAAGGGCACTGTTGGTGCTTGCCTGCACTTGAGAGGGATCAGGATGTGGGTTTGTTAACGTATTTGTCCCCAGCAATGCAGACAGTATTGGGATAGACTGGATGATGCCATGGCCTTGGTTTTGCTTGTCTAGAAGCACACACTCACCCCACGCTCTGTCAGATCATTAATGAACTTCTTCCTGAGCCATAAACTCATCCTTGGCTTGACTCCCATGGGAGTCAAAGTATACTTTTAGATGTTGAAGAATTCAGATGCAGTGGCTAGCTTCATCATAACTGCAGCCCTGACTCATCATATTCATGATTCTGTGACAATATGTCATAAATTACATCAGCAGATACTTTGTGGGATGAGGCGGACAGACAGGAGACCACCCATCTTTGCCTCTGGGAAAGCAGGAGACCAAGACACCCTGTCCTCTCCCTCGGAGCCCCAGGATGCCTCTGTGTTTCAGTGAGACAAGTCAGGAGTAAGTTGAGGAACAACCTCTGTTTGTTTTTTGCGGGGGGCAGGGGGAGGGGGTCTTTTTGAGGCAGGGTCTCCCTGTGGTCCCAGCTGGCCTGGAACTCAATAAGTAGACCAGCCTGCTCTCGAACTCACAGAGATCCACCTGCCTCTGCCTCCCAAGTGCTGGGACCAAAGGCGTGTGCAGCGGGGAACAATATCTATGAGAAACCAGATCTGCTTAACTCAGAGATATGACACCTCCACCGCCTCTGAGAGGGCTACTGGGACCCGTTCTTTGTTACAAAACAAATGATGAATGGCTTCATCATCCTGACCCAACAAAAAGTGCAAGAATCTGTGTGTATGTATGTTTTCATATGGCTATGTGTGCACATATGGACATTTGAGTGCATGTATGTGTGTCTGCAGTATTGTATGTATGTGCTTGAGTGTGACAGATGAACCAGAGATTGCAGCTACTCCATGTTATAGAGTCCTGTCTGGTCTTCTCACATCAATTAATACAATGAAGATAAGCCTTCACAGATGATCTCAGAGGTTCATTTTCCAACACTAACCATCACAAGGCCCTTATGAAACTGAGTCTCTTGCCTGCCCCAGCCCATCCCCTCTTTCAACTGAGACTCACACTGCGAAGTCAGGAGTCTAAGCCTTCACTCTTTCTTGCTCCAGTGAAGACTGTCATTTGGTAGGAGGAAACAAGTAAGCAAATAAACAGAGACAGCAAACACAGGAAGCAAGGTCCCACTGTCTGCAGTCATCTGAGGGGTGGGAGATAGCTGGGTCTGAAGTTACTATCACCCAGGGCAAAATGCAATCATCTGTGCAGGGGGTCTCTAGGTGGAGAAGCATCAAGATCAGAACAGGTGGGGGACACTGGGCTGAGCTATCCTGGTGCCTGGGCAGACTTAGGAGTTCTACAGTTAGGCTCAGGTAAGTGTGACAGTGCTTGTATACCAGTGTGCCGGCCTCCCTGCCTCCTTCCCTTGAGGTCCCCTGTCCTTCCTTCACTGTGGGAGTGAATAGGAAGGTCCTAATGTTGACCCCTAATAAGAAGCAGGTGATCAATGGAAGATATGCAGAATGGTTCTTACATGGCTAGTCCTCTGGTGAATGCTAACGTGGATATGAGCAACTCAGGCAACAAACTTTAGGTTGTCTTTTCAGATGGCTGAAATGGGTTGAGTAATGTCTGTATCTTACTGAAGTTAACTTTTTGGGGTCTACAATCCATGAAGGAAGCCCAGGTAAGCTCAGTGTAATCAGGGTTTCTCCTTTCCTAGTGCTTGCTGTTGGAGCTAAGGCTCGAGAGCTTGCGTAGCATCACGATACTGGACGGGCTGATCCTCAGGTGCTGCCTTTCTATACCTGCATCATGTGAGATGGGTGTTGGTGCACCAGATCCTGACACATGGACTACACATGATCCAACCTGACAAAATATCTACCTTCATCTCTTCTCAAAGGCACATGGATCACTGGGATGCCATGCCAGACTAGTGGAAAAGACTAGACTTTCTGGCTTGTTGTGATGTGTGTTCCATTCATTTATGGCATGTGAAAAATAATAATAACCAAATGTTTGTGAGGTTTTCCTGTGATATAGCCAACTTCCACTTTTAAATGGTTTCAGAGGAGTACATCAGACATTTCCTAGGGAATTGTCTGTGCTTAAACCTTCAAAACACTCAGAGTCCCTCATACTGACAAAGTTACATGACTAATCTCTCAAGCTTCACCAAGATAAACAGAGTGTCAATCAATTCATTCAAGAGAGCACAGTCAAGTGCCTAGCTTTAGGGCCTGAATACAAGGATGGAGGGATCAGTGGGGCCCTCTTAAGAGTCTGTCTGTCAGCAGACGGTATATCTGCTTCCCTACTGAAGAGAAGGAGAAATAATACTCATAACTAGCTACATGTCTTTTCTAGAATTGTTCCTTTCCCCTCCTTACCTCGTGTTCATTTTCCCTTTATATATAGAACACGCAAGAGAAACTAGTTTTGCCATGCAAAGATATCTGGGATCCTGAGGACACAGAAGCAATATTAGCAAGGGTTCACCCTAGGTAGGGAGCTTGTATTAGTTACTTTTCTGTTGTTGTGATAAAACAGTGTGACCAAAAGAACTTATAGGAAGAAAAGGTTATTTGAGCTTAAGGTTCCAGGTTCCAGAAGGTTTAGAGTTCATCATGGCAGGGTGGCATGGTGAGGCGGCAGAAACAAGAGCAGAAAGTTAAGCACTCACATCTTCAAGCACACACAGAAACAGAGACTGACCAGAAATCTGGCAAGGCTTAAGAACTCTCAAAGCCTGACCCCAGTGAGGTGCTTCCTCCAGCAAGGCCAACCCTCCTAAAACCTCCCAAAACAGTGCCACCAACTGGGGACAAAATGTCCAAATACTTGGAGCCTATGGAGGACATTCTCATCAAACCACCACAGAGCCTTTCCATGAGATATAGTCCTTGCCTTACTCTTCATATTCTGATCTATCCTTAGGGTTTATTACCGTGCTTCAAGCCAGGAACAGTGACAAATGATGTGGGAACAAAAGTGTTTATGAGACCAGAATTGATAGAAAAGTCTGGATAAAGAATAGACAGTGTGGACAGAAATACAGTGGGAAAACTCTTGACGGGGAATCACCCCTTGTATTAGTTACATTTCTGTTGCTCTGATAAAACACCATAATCAAGGTTGCTTATAGAAGGAAAAGTTTATTTGGCTACGATTCAGGGGAGCGAGTCCATGACAGTGTGGGAGGCACGACAGGAGGTGGGTGGAGTAGAAAACTGAACAATTACATCTTCAAGCAGGCACAGGAAACAGAGGGCCAGAAATCTAGAAAGGCTGAAGAACTCTCAAAGTCCACCCCCAATGATGTGCTTCCTCTAGTAAGATTGCACCTCCTAAAACCTCTCAAAACAACACCAACTGGTGACAAAATGTTCAAATGCTTGGAGCCTATGGAGGACACTTTCAAACCACCACACCCCTGTAAGGCAGGATAGAATCTCCCTATAGGCCCAGCTGTCCTGGAACTCACTATGTAGACCAGGCTGACCTTGAGCTCACAGAGATCCACCTGCCTCTGCCTCCCAAGTGCTGCGATTAAAGGCATGTGCCACCACACCCAGCTAGGATGGAATCTTTTTATAGCAGTTAAGAATAGTTACCTGGCTTTAGCTACTGGGTTACTTGGGTGGGGTGTTTTAAATGTTTTTTATATTTAGTGTGTGTGTGTGTGTGTGTGTACACATGCACATGGGCATCATCATATGGATGTCAGAGGATAACTTTTGATAGCTCTTTCTTTCCACCATGTGGATCCTGGAGATTGACCTCAGGTTATCAAACTTGAAGGCAAATGCCTTTACCTGCTCAGGCATCTTGCCAGCTCAAGGAGTTGTATTTAAATAGATAAGCTAGCAGCTCACTATTGTCTTGGATAATAAATTTTATCATACCTTTTTTCCTTCCTGAGATTAGTCATTTCTGCAGGATCCAGGTTCATTTGGAGTTAGGCTCTAATCTTTTGTGTAGGATACCATCAGCCACTGGGTCAGACTCTAAGTAGTTAGGGCCCCTTACAGAGTGAGAGATTTTTTTCTGGTTTTATTTTTGGTCTTTTATTTGTGCCTTTTGTCTTTATATTATCTATGAGCATCATTTTAAGAAAGCTGGAGAGAATTTTACAAAGGAAATAATACTGGGATAGTTAACTATATTGAGCAAATAGTCCTTGAATTGGACAAGGAAGCATAAGGGAATTCCTAGGAGAAAGTAAAGGCTGAGCAGGAGACCACTTGACATCCAGGCTAGAAGTCTGGGTAGCATCCAGAAAAGAGAAGAAAGGCACTTCTTACTCTAATAGGCTGCAGAGGCTGATGTTCTGCTTTCCCGTAGCAGCAAACTCCTAGACCTTGCCCTGGTTCACTAACAATTAACAATTCAAGGAACAGTTTCTATCATTAGTGATGCCCTAAGGGACATCAAGAATGCCCCCTGAACATCACTGTGACAGGAGAGATTTGGGTACTGAAGTCCACACTCATCAATGTCCTTGGGGGAG